AAAAAAAAAAAAAAAAAAAAAGACCAAGTAGTGATTCTACAACATCTTACTATGCTGATAGACAGTGACTGTAATGGGGTTGGTTGGGGGGACTTGGTGAAGGGGGGGACCCTAGTAAACATAATGTTCTTTATGTAATTGTAGATTAATGATAACAACAACAACAAAAAAGTTCTACCCTAAAAAAAAAAGACCAAGTGCCCAGCACATACATATATTCACCCACCAAGCATTTACTAAGTGCCTACCATCTACCCAGAGACCACCTGAGGCCCCAGGGTCACAGAAGTTAACAAAGGGCCAAAATTCTGCCTTTATAAAGCTACCTTCTTGAGATCTAAAAGCATATAATTAATGAGTAAATAAAATACGTGGACTATAAGTGCTAAGAAGAAACATCATTTATGGAAGGACATAAAATATGCTAGGGAAGGAGGGTGTTCTTTTAAATAGGGAGAGAGGTAGTGTCCCACTAACAAGGTACATCTGAGCAAAGACCCAAGAGACAGGAGAAGTTAGTAAACCAAGAAACAGGCCGCCATGGGATCCAGGAAGGAGAATTCACGAAGAAAAGAGGCAAAGGGAGTCCCAAGGACAAAAGGTGAGGGGAGAGCTCAGGATGACAGCTGTACAGCTGGCCTAGAGAGCGACCGTTCAGACCAGCAAAGGTGAGAAGGTTCTGCAAGGAATCTCTTGAGGTATTCTATTAGGTTCATATTCTTGATGTGTTTCAACTATGGAGAGGAGATTTATAATAACCTAGAAGTGAAAGACTGAATTAATGGTAAGGACACAGAAAACTAACCAAATGGAGAAACACAAAAACAACAGTGACAGTATTAACTCAGCACAATGTGGTAGTAATTGCAAATTGCCTGTATGCTGCTTTTAGTGTTAAGTGCTAAACTTTCTTTTCTGTTTTATTTATTTTTATTTTTATTGATACAGTCATTTTAGTTTCAAGTAAACAATGCAGTGGAAGTGCTAACATTTCTTCATGCTTAAAACAGCCATCTGTTTAATAATGATTTGCCATCTTTATTGAATAAGTACATGAATACTTCAAGTTTGTACTTTGAAGTATCAAGATCAAATTTGTAAAAGACAAAATCTGGCCTAATTTCATTTGTAAACATACAGATTCTTTGAGAGTACTGAGATGTATTTCATCTGGGTCTGGATACCTGTTTTTGTTGGACGTAGCTAAGGAGCTCTCTTGATGTCAAAGGGTTTATTGAGTCCTACATTTTTAAGATGTAAAATCAACTACTTAAGTGATCAGCTTTTTATTCCTTCTAAGCTACAAAACCTCAGATCTGGATGAAAATGCTCTCTGTCTTACCAATATTATAATAATAGATAGTAATTAAATAAAATTTCTATTATGAATCCTTTAAATTTACAACTAAAAAAACATTTCTGATACTTTTCTAAGGGCTGGGTTTAAGAAGCTTAGGCAGCTGGAAAGAACTTTCTCCACATTCTTGGTGAATATGGGCAATCAGATGAGTAAGACGTAAAATCAACTGAACCATTTTTGCAATCATCTTATGCAAATTCCTCATTTTACAAAAAGGCAGGCTGAAATCCACAGAACTGAAGTGATTTACCCCAAGTCAGACTGCAGTGGTAGCGGGGCTGGTCTAGAATGTAGGCTTCCTGCCCTGCCCAGCATGCAGCCCACTACCCTGAGCTGCCCTGGCTGAGAGGAAGCACTCATGTAAAATGCATGTGCCTTGTTTCACTGGCAGATGTAAACACTCTTCGGACTCACTCATGGCCTTGGTTCTTTAAATGTACTTAAAACTGAACATTTTTTAACCGTATTATTCTGTTTTTATTCGTTGGTTTAATTGCTATGAGAAAGAAAGAAGAAGGAATGCCTGCGCCTGCTCTCCTTAAAGCAAGGCAGCCAATTTTCACTAAGCAGAAGCAGTTTAGAAAATTATACAGGATCTAAAAGAAATACTCACTTCACAGCTCTGCCATCTGTTTGGAATATTTGGCCTTAACTTCTGTTCACAAACAACTTTTCTCATTTCTTCAACTGATGGATCAGAAGGTACAAGATCATAATAAGGCAGCTGGTAATCTTCATGAATTCCTATATTGGTTAAAAAAATTATTTTGTAGAATTTATTCAGGTAATGCAAGACCATTCTTTGACCAGATAGAAGAGGAACACCTGAGAGTCCTACTACAGTGGCCCAGTGCTCAATTCGGCAAGGGATCCAGGACTCACAGCTTGCTCGGCTTCATCCACATCTGCCTTAACCCCCGTCCCTGCATCAGTACTGGGCCTACACCTTGAAACTGAGTGTCGTCACGGGATCAGCCAGCACTGCTTTAATGATGGCTAATGATGAGCTGTGATGAGCAGACTGACATTCTCCCAAGAACCTAACAAGGTGCAAGAACCAAGAGTTTTATTCTGTAGGTGCGGTCACTCCCCTGGTACAGGGAGATATGCTTTATTACTGAGGTGTGAACCCTACAATGCAGGTTTATGTCTGAGGTACAAGTCCCTTCCTCCATGTGCATCTGTCAACAACCTGAGCCATCTGCTACAATGCAGATGTACATTTCAGCCCTCACTGCCTCAAAGACCTGAAAGTCCTAGTCTCAGCCAAGGCTGGACCCCCAAGGATAAAAGACTATTTCCTGAAGACCAACTTAAAAGTTAGAACACACTTACTTGAAAGAGTAATGTAATGGCACTTTGTTTTCTGTGTATGTAACTTCCAACTATGAAGTTGGAGAAAATAACCATAATCTCAGGGGAAAAATGAGTTTGACCCAGGGAAATGCTTGAAACAGCTTTCTGGGTGGCCTCTCAAATAGTCGTTCATTCTAAATAACTATATTCCAAGATAAGAAGGGGTTGATATTCTGATACTTCCCAAGATTGATGTGAAAATAGGAAAAGACTAGGATAAAGCTGTACACTAGAATAAAGCATGCCATGTCATCTTCCCCTCACTACAGGGTTTCTCTCTTTTTTTCCCCTTTGGCATTCTCAGTGATCACCTGGTGAACATAATTTCAGACTACTGATAATGATTTCACTCAACATTCTTGAATTACTTCTGTTTCTGACAAGCTGTTGGGGGAAGGAGGAGAAATTTACCACCAATGGAACATCGTCGAGCTATTTCCCAGAAGACTAAGCCCATTGCATAGATGTCAGCACGTTTGAAGGATTCAAAGTGTTTCATATTTATGGAATCATCTAGAACCTCAGGGGCCATGTACCTGAAAGAGAAGTCGGCATTTTACTTGATGAAACAGTGGCCACATTACTTTGAACTGCTTCATAAATTTTCTTTTATTTCTAAGAATTAAAAAGAAGAAAAAAGTAACCATTTAAGACTTTTCTCCCCTTTCAGCATGGTTCTGATGTTTTTTTAAATGACTGCTATTATAGAAATTTTCCCAGTTTACAAAGTGAAAAATTATTCCATTACTACCACTTAGTGTTAACACTCTGATGAACGAACATCATTTCAGATGTCTCCGTATACATAGACATATACACACAATATTACGTAACAGATCATATTAGACTCAAGAAAAATAATAAATATCCAAACTGGTGTGAAATTAATGTCCACTAAATCCCATGAAAGTCTGAAGCAACAATTTTATTCCATCTGCCTCATGATCTTAGTTTCCCATGAAAGACATGCGCAATGATCATGACTATTACAAATGGTACTATGCAACCTTTGCCATGTACTATGCAAGGACCATATATTTTCATCTAAAAGTCTTCTCACTAAAACAGAATGAGAGGAAGGGCAGGCACATGCTCCAGAAAACAAATAGATAAAAATGAATGCCAATTCTACTGATGCTACACTATAGGGCTCTGAAGTTTCGAAAACCCTTCTACGGTTACAGATTTGGACCCATAAAAACCTGCAGCAACCATGGTACAAGACCCCTACATTCTGAGAGTCCCTGTTGAATCCAGAAATAAAAAAATACAACTGAGATAGAATGAAGCTTGGCTCTACCCAAAGCCAAGGCGGTCATCTGAAGATATGACGGGGAACCATGCTATGATACACCAAGCAAGGCCTATTTTGGGTCAGAGAGGCCCAGGTTAGAATCTCAGCTCTTCAGCTTACTGTTGACATGAGGTTGGCCACACTACTTAACTTCCATGCTGTGGTTTCCTCATCTGTGAATTGAGGATAATGATGTCTACCTAGTTGGGTCTTTTAATGTTCAGGGTTTCAACAAGTATTTACTGAGGACTTACTATGTATCAGGTACTATAATTGATGCTAGGAATACAAGGCTGCAATCCAATGGAATGCACAAATAAATGCACAGTTATAATACAAGGTGCCTGAGGGCCTCAATGGTCCAAGTTCAGCCTACTAGAAGGCACCAAATCCAAAAGGGGTTTCCTATGAGAAAGGAAGGGTGAGTGCCCAGTTAGGGAAACAGTAGGGAGACATATGCTCTAGGATATAGCACATGCAAAAGTTCTAATGAAGAGAGAAAAGTATATTTTCATTACATATGAAAATAGTTGGCCTACCTACAGCACAGCATTTCAGGAAAGGATTAAATAATATATAAAAGACCCATTACAATGATTGGCATACAATAGGTAGCTTATAAGCATTAGCTACCATTGTTATTATAATTAGCATAACTAATGATAACATTTTCTGGAAGGGCCACTTTTATCAGCTGACATCTTTTTAAGTCAGGTAACCTTGGCTTCAGAGCAGGGAAGACCATGAGATCCTCTACCTGTGGGCAATCTAATAAAGGACAGGTTTGAGTTTCAGAAAATACATGTAAACAAATGAGAAGGAAAAGGCAAGGACGCTGATTTCAGGGAGTAGCAAATTACTATCCATTCACAAGGGTACCTTTTTGTTCCCACTCTGTGGTTTGGAGCAATATCAATTGTATCTGTGGCTGAATCGTGTCTTACCGCCAGCCCTAAATCTGCAATACAACAAGTTCCATTCTTCTTTACCAAGATATTCTTTGACTTTAAATCTCTATGAGCAATGGCTGGTTTACCTAAAGAAACAAAAATTAAACATGATGCTAAACCGGTAATACCAATCACAATTCTCATCTTTAGCTTCAGAAGCCTATCAGCCCGCCCCCATGTCAGGGCATCTCACCACATCACCCACAACACCTGGGCCATTACTGAACAACCTCGAGTGAATCATTATACCAAAAGTTGCTGAAATTACATTTCTTCAAAGAAAACAGGTAAGACACACCAAAAGACCATGCCCCCAAATGTAAGTCTATCAACTCAAAGACTAGGGGGTTAAAGATACTAGTTTCTTTGTTACCCTACGAATTATTTATAAGAACCCTAGTCACAGACTCAGCCCAAGAGCCAACCTCTAGATCACTTCCCTTGCCTGTAGTGTACTCACCATTAAATATACAACCTTTAATACTAACCAAGTACTATTAAAACATAGTGCTTTAAAAAAATAGTTATTAAAGTATGGAAAAGTTGGAACCCTCATACACTGCTGGTGGGAATGTAAAATGATATAGGCACTTTGGGAAAAAAGTCTGGCAGTGCCTCAAACCATTACAGTTACTAACTGTATGATACAGTAATCCAATCCCCAGGCATATATACAAGAGAAATGAAAACATAACACCCACACAAAAACTTGTACACCAATGTTCATAGCAGCATTGTTCATAACAACTAGAAATGAAAACCCAAATGACCCTGAACCAATGAATGGATACAAAAAAATGTGGTCCGACCATACAATGGAGTATTACTCGGTCATAAAAAGGAATGCAGCACTGATACACACTACAACATGGATGAACCTTGAAAACATGCTAAGAAAAAGAAGCCAGTCATCACATCAAAGACCATGTATTTTATGATTCCATTTATATGAAATGTCCATAATAAATCTACAAAGGCAGAAAGTAGATAAGTGGTTGCTTAGGTCTAAGGAATTTGGAGGGAAATGGGGAGTGACTGCTAATGTTTCTTTTTGGAATGATGAAAATGTCCTAAAATTGACTGTGGTGATAGCTGCACAACTCTGTGAATATACTAAAAGCCACTGAATTGTACACTTTAAATGAGTGAATTGTATGATATGTGAATAACTCAATAAAGCTGTTATAACCAACAGTAATAATAATCACAAAGATGGGGATAAACGTGAAATAGCAAGTGTATGGTAAAGTGAGGAGTCACAGAACCACGGGGCTTGAAGTGGATAATCACTAGAGCAGAGAGATACACTGGCATCTAATATCCTACATGGCATAAAAATAACAGCATAATAATTTCATAGTTAAAACTCAGTTTTTATTTTTCAACTATAAAAGTGTATCATGCAGTCTCCTTATTTCAGGGTCAAATATAATTATTAGATGGCCAGATAACATGTATATGCACGATAATAGTGTTTACGGAAAGATTTTCACATTTCATTTGATACCACAGAAACCTATATTCTCTCAGACTTGAATTCTAAAATCAAGATTCTAAAAAATCACAAAACGGATGCTACTTTTAAGAACTCACAAAATTACCAGTGTTGTTACAATTACTACAGAATCTCTAAACAAATTCTCAGATACCCAACTCCATGCAGATTTTCAAAAGAAAGATAAAATGATCTCATCTAAAAACTCATTTTAAACATCTCCAATTAGGCTTACTTTCTGTAAGAACGAACATAAATTAGATTCACTGGAATGTGAAGTAACAGAGTTGCTTCGAGTTACCTTGGGTACCAACAATCTCCATATGAAGATGGGCAAGTCCACTTGCTGTGGACAAAGCAAGTTTGATCATTCCCTCCACTGTAACTGTGTATCTATTCAAGTAATCAAAAAGAGATCCATGCTCGTGATAATCTGACACCAACCAGAGCTGAGTCCATGTACCATTGTCTGCAAAGTGGAATGACAATGTTTCAGATGAGTTATATAACATTTATGATTTATTTATTCAAAAGTTATCACTTTTTATTCTCAATCCTGAATCCCACAACTGCAGTATGATGGCATCTTAAGTTTGTATACACTAAACTTCATATTTCCCTGTATTTTCAGTTTGTCTTACTACTTATATATACATATCCTTTAGGTCCTCAGGGTAATTCCTGAGGTAAGGCAAAGATAACTAAAGACATTTAAGAGACAAGAAATCAGAGTCCAAAGATGGTGATCTTGAGTCTACAAACTTGGTAGCAGAGCTGGGACTCTTGAGAGCCTAGTAAAACAAAAGGTTCAGGTTAGGTGCTCAACGGTTGTTTCTGGAAGGGAAGAGGGAATCAGTGAGGTAGGGAGGGAGGAAGATGAGAAGTATCTGGAACCCAGTGTGGCCACAGTGGGAATAGAACAGTATGGGACCAAACTGAAAGTGAGTTTAAATGAAGAAATGCAAGCTTTAATGATTGTGTATATAGTTCACAAAGAAGCCAGACAAGGTAATTTTGATTGCAAAGTTTCCATCCTAGAAAACAAAAACGGTACTATCGCTGCACACAGAGAACCTGAGACAGGAACTGAATGTCAGAAGGAGAAAGTTGGGACTGAACCAGTTTTACACAGGTAATTTTGAACTTCAACAACTAGAACTATGCATTCCAGAAGTTTGTAAAGTGACACATGAATTTGAAATGTTTCCTTCCATAGAAATCATGGTAAAGATTCTGGCTAGGCTTCTAAGCCAGGCTGGCCCACAAAAGCCTATTTAAGTAGAAGTAGCTGGAAAAATCATACAGTTGATGAAATCATGAAGAAAAAATGAAAATTTCAATACTAGGAGGCAACTAGGAGGCAATACTAGGAGGCAATACTAGGAGGCATCACTAAAAGATGCACACAGAGTCATTCTGACCTGGTTCAGAATCCAGAGCTTGGCTGTCATTGACTATGTGACCTCAGACAAGTTTCTTAACCAATGAGCCTATTTCTTCTTTTACACAACAAGAAAACCTTACTTTTTACAACTGTTTAGATTTTTAAAATAGGATACTCTTATGTTTTTTAAGCGTAAGTACAAACTTAAAATGTGCTGTTTCCTTCCCTTTCTTTTGGTTGGAAAACAAAAGAAAAAAAAAACCTAGACTGTCATAAAACAACTTCTATATTTTGAAGGGTGTTACTTAAATGAAGGAAAGCAACTCTGATTAGAAGAGACTAAGGAAGATGTTTTCAGAAGATTTTGAAGGGGATTTCTGGGTACCTCCCAAAGGATTCAGATATTCATACTCGTTCTTTATAAACCTATTCTTCATGAACGTCATAAACTGATTCTGTCCAAACTTGCATCTGTTCTTTTTTCTTGATACAGGTATAGCACTAGCTTTATCTGCATGCTTATGCATATATTAGCATACAATGATTTTCTGAGGTACTTGACAAGAGAGGCAGAAGAAAAGCTATGTAAGAGGCTGACATATAAAGGCTTGTTTGAGATGGAGTTAACTACTCAGGAGGATAAAGAGAAAGGAAAAGGGATCAGGATGGAGATTCTGGGCAAAGTCCATTAACCCAAAGGAGAAAGAAGGTATAGGGAAGTCAGCAGGATCAGCTAGTTCCCATGGTGACCAGCAGATGACAGCACCAGCTTGACTGCTGCTGGAGCAAGTGGGAAAGAAAGTTCAGGGCACAGCAGCAAGAGCATTTTGTGCCACTGTGTTTGTAACTTGGAATGTGTCTAAAACATGCTGGGCCTGGGTGGGGTTTGAGTCTCAAAAATGCAGATTTGAAAATCACCACCACAATAGTTTGAAACCAGAAGTTTGGGTAAATTCTTTAAGGGAGCAATTACTATTGGTAGAAGTAAAGTCTTCATATAAATTGGTAGGAAGTTTCACAAAACAAAGACATTATTAGGAAATAGGAAATTAACAAAGAAAATCTAGAGTCACAGAACATAATAAAGTTTGTTTTAAGAGTGGGGGGGAAACCTAAATGGTGTCAAAGAAGGAAAAAAATGAAAACTGAAGACTTGGTCAAACTAGGATCACTGCTTTTGTTTATTAGTTTTGTTTCTCAATTAAGTATTACTGAATTGGTAATAGCCATTGTTCATCACTGCCTACAACCGTCACTGGCCTTAAGTCACAAAAAAGAGAGAATCCAACATTATATGCTTCCTAATGTGCTGCAAGAGAATATATAGGAAATATAAAATATTTTCAGGAAACCAATAAAATTTAATCACATTCAGTCTCTGTTTCTAATCACCAGTTTTTAAATAATACAAGGAGCAAGTTCAGAGATACTACGGGAATTCAATTAGCAAAATCCAGAGTGTGACATGAGACTACATCAACTAAAAAATTTCTGGACACCATTAACAGAACAAAAAGGCATCCTACAGTATGGGAGAATATATTTGTAAATGACATATCCAACAAGGGGTCAACATCCAAAATATATAAAGAACTCACAAACCTCAACACCCAAAAAGCAAATAACCCTATTAAAAAATGGGCAGAGGATCTGAACAGACAATTCTCCAAAGAAGAAATTCAGATGGCCAACAGGCACATGAAAAGATGCTCCACATCACTAATCATCAGGGAAATGCAAATTAAAACCACAATGAGATATCACCTCACACCAGTAAGGATGGCCAGCATCGAAAAGACTAAGAACAACAAATGCTGGCAAGGATGTGGAGAAAGGGGAACCCTCCTACACTGCTGGTGGGAATGTAAGCTAGTTCAACCATCGTGGAAAGCAATATGGAGGTTCCTCAAAAAACTAAAAATAGAAATACCATTTGACCCAGGAATCCCACTCCTTGGAATTTATCCAAAGAATACAACTTCTCAGACTCAAAGAGACACATGCACCCTTATGTTTAGCACAGCACTATTTACAATAGCCAAGATATGGAAGCAACCTAAGTGTCCATCAGTAGATGAATGGATAAAGAAGATGTGATACATATACACAATGGAATATTATTCAGCCATAAGAAAAAAATAAATCCTACTATTTGCAACAACATGGATGGAGCTGGAGGATATTATGCTCAGTGAAATAAGCCAGGCGGAGAAAGACAAGTGCCAAATGATTTCCCTCATTTGTGGAGTATAACAACGAAGCAGAACTGAAGGAACAAAATAGCAGCAGACTCACAGACTCCAAGAAAGGACTAGTGGTTACCAAAGGGGAGGGGTGTGAGAGGGTGGGTCAGGAGAGAGGGAGATGGGAATTGAGGGGTATTATGTTTAGTACACATGGTGTGGGGGGGTCCTGGGGAAAACAGTGTAGCACAGAGAAGACAAACAGTGAATCTGTGGCATCTTACTACACTGATGGACGGTGACTGCATTGGGGTATGGGTGGGGACTTGATAATATGGGTAAATGTAGTAACCACATTGTTTTTTCATGTGAAACCTTCGTAAGAGTATATATCAATAATACCTTAATAAAATATTTTTAAAAAAATCCAGAGTGTGATAAGCTCCATAGGACAAACAGTTCAGTTTCTTTAAATAAATAAACTGCCAGAAGAAAAAACATGGAGAAGAAACCTAGCAATTTTAAGATAAATATCAACCAAATGCTTTGTGTGGACTTTGGATCCTAAATTGAATAATCAATTCTTAAAAAAAAAAAACGGAGACAATTGCAGAAATTTGAAACTGACTAGATATTTGATGAGATTTTACAAACTTACAATGGTATTATGGTTATGTTTCATTAAAAAATTCCTCATAATCATAAGATGCAAAATTGAAGTGTTTATTGATGAAAGACATGGTATATCTTTGGCTTCAAAGAACTCGGATTGGGACAGAGTAGGTGAAATCAGAGATCAAATACAACTGGCAATGAGCTGATAATTGTCAAAGCTGGGTGACAGCTTCATTATACTATGCTTTTGTACATATTAGAAGTTTTCTACAATAAAAACTAAAAAAAAAACAAAAAACAAAATAATGATTATAAATAAATCTGAAGATATAGAGAAGTAAAAAAATGACAAATTTATAAATAATCACCAACTAAAATTAAATATTGGTGAATAAAATGGAAACGGAGAAAAGGAAAAAGATGACTATGGTTCTGGCCAACCTAAAAAAAGGTATTGATAGCACATTTTAAAAAACAGGAAAGAAGGGAGATACATTTGATTCAGGGTGGGGATAAGTGAGAGTTGTAACAGGTATCTAACAAAAGCTATAACAGAAACTGTGGACACAACAGTCATAACTGAAGCCAGGAAAGGAGATGAAGTAGCCTCCAGTCACTGCAGGCTGTCACCTCTCTCTGACTCATCACCAACTGACACAGCTTTTTTGATTCCTTCAGCATCTGATCTGAAGCACCACCAGCCAAGGTGGTTTTGGAGAAACCATTTCTCTATTTAACTGGGTTTACTTCAAAAATTCACCTATTTAGCCCCTGGCAACTTAGAACACAGAATACATTCAGAAGTTATTTCACTCTCCCTATAAATGAGGTCATTAGTATATATCAAAACACATTAGTGGTCAGGAAAAGATTAAAAGGAAACAGACACCTGAGCCCTATCCTATCTGAAGTTTTGAGCTATCAGTTTATAATTTTTTTCTATAACTATAATCAATAACTGCCCAGAACCAAAATAAGAAAAGCACATAGGTCTTATATCTATACACACACACACACACACACATACATATATATATATATATATATCTTTCCATTTTATAAAAGAGTCAGGGATTTATGAACATGTCAAAAGTCAAAATCTTTAAGAAGTTCTTGTTTCTAAAGACTTGTAATATTTCTCTTTGACTTAATGGGTCTAAGCTACATGAAATTTCTCATCAAATTTGACAATGTTGAGTAGCCATATTTGTAGAAAGGCTTAAATATATTTTGTTATGCTCAAAGGAGAAGCAAATGTTACTTACCTTTATTGTCTGCTGCTATAAATCCCAAGATGTTTTCATGACGTAACATTACGGTTTGATAAATCTCTGCCTCACGGAACCATGAACGTTCTTCTCTAGAGGAGAATATTTTAACAGCAACTTCTTCTCCTCTCCACTTTCCTCGCCAAACCTCTCCAAATCGACCTTTGCCAATACTTTCTTGTAACACAATAGTTCTTGCAATTGTTCGTTGAACAAGCAATGGTAAACCTAACGATAAAAACAAATAGTATTTAACACAACAAACAATAGTCTGTGTTCCTAACAACACAACATTCATTAAAAAGCCTCCCAGGAATGGGAGTAACTCCTTAAGCTCTACCATTAAGGAACTTAAAATCTCTCCGAGGAGATATATACTATATTTGCAAAAACAGTATTTCATGATAAGAGGTAAATGAGATAATAAATACAATAAAATAATCCAGAAATTCCAGCCTAGAGGATCAAGATAGGCTTTGTAAAGTAAGTTGAATTTAGACTGTCTTTACAGAAGGGATGTAAAGGACGTTAAGGTGTTCAAGTAGGAGGAATATGCAAGTAAAGGCAGAAGGAGGAAATGAATGATAGGTGTTTAGGGAACGAACTGGCTTAGATAAAGAGAAAAGGGCTATGTGAAAAGGCAGTGGACGAGAAGGTAAGCTGTCACTAGAATATGAAGAGTATTGAATGCCAGGCTCTAGATGACCAATGAAAGACTGGTCACCTTGGATAAAAGAGCAACTATCAAAGATTTCTGAAAAAGGGCCATGAATAAAGAGAAATAATTTTAAAATCTTATTTTAGAAAGGTGAATCTGCAAACAGTTTACTAATGGGAGGACAAAAGTATGTGAATACAAGAAACAGAAATAAATTCTGGCCGAACTTTTAATAAATTAGTAAAAGTTATCGTAGAAACCATTTCAAGACAAGCAATTTACTGGCAAGGAACTGGCTGCCTAGGCAACACTAGCATCTTAAAGAAAGATGCCAAGTAGCTTACCTTGGTAATGGGACACTGGCATTTTTTCACCAACTGAACTTGACTTATTCTAAAACACGTATTTTAAAATATTGCCATGTTTACTCATCTACAGAAAAGGATTTATAACTCCTACAAACATTTAAGTAGCACTATATTTGGGACTATTTTAGTTCACTTAATATAATATCCCCCATGGACTAAGGAAGTATCATCTTAAATTACAGTGACCCTGACAATTAAAATACCAGTGTACTATTCATGCTCTACAACACTAGCATGTTATTTATACAATCTATTACACATAGACTGGTGTAACTTATCATCTATATTCAGCATTGCTTGCTAGATCAAATTAACTCAATGACAGTAAAGAAATTGTCTGCCCTCTTTGGTTCTTTGATGTGAAATGCTTATAAATCTAAACATTAAACCTTTACTTTGAAGCAATAAGAAGTTTTACTCTTTTCATCTGTAAGTTTCTCAAATACTCCTCTCTTCTTGCCTTCTATCCTCCCCACTCCTGCAAAGTAGTTAGTCTAAACATAAACGATTGTTTTCATATTTATGAGGGGCCCACTAGTTAAAAATAGACCTGTGAACAATCCTTAATTAATCAAGGTCTTTTGTATTATGAATAATCAATTCTTAATTATGTCCTTTATTATATAGATACTAACTTAATAAATTTTCTGAAAGCCTGTACAGGACCATACCATATACTTAAAAATTTTAAATATCTATAAGAGTTAATTTCAGGATGCTAATCTGGAAGATAGAAAGGCAAGGAATAAAGAAAGGGGAATTGCAAAGGGAGAAGTCTGAAAATGCCTAACACACTGATGACTCATGTAAAAGGTATAGTCAAGAAAAGGTTAACAGCTCAAAGCAAGTTTCCATATTCCCCAACATTACTGGATTCTAGAATGCAGAACTAAAAGTTAAAAGCCAAATCTAGTTTCATCATACTGCATTTGGTTACATACCCACATGAACACCTGAGCATTTTTAAAAAGTAGTTAACTTTCTTCTAAAGACAAAAATAAACAGGATGAATGCAGGTCTCTATACTCTGCTTTATTATTTTGTATCTTTAGAACTGCTTGAGAGAAAACCTCAACATGTGTCCAAGCAGCTTCACATGCAATGAAAATAGAAATAAGATCTGAACAACATACATACTTTAAAGAAATCATAAGCATGAACAAGACATAGAGAGTATTGCCCTAAGAGTCTTGCTCCCTTTCAAAACATGGTAGGCATGCCCATGCTGACAAACACTTTACAATCTAATGACGCTTAAATGAGCCCACATGCACAACCTGTGATTCAAACTAATGCATCCGGGGAAATACAGACAGGGTCTTTTCTCAATTATGGGCATGGTACCGAGTAATAAACATGTGAATTAGTAGTATGAAATGTTTAGTTTTATCTTTTTCTCAACGAATGGAAGAACTAAAAAGGCTATTATGTATAGACATTTTACTTACTCACTGGCTTGAGTCCCAAGCATGAGGTGGCAGTAAGGCTTTGTAATTAATAGAAGGGAAAGAAATAGCATTTCCTGCTATCATTCAACAGAAGATAGCATCTGTCTGGATAAATCTGGAGACTACTCAGCACACAATGAACTATGACAGGGAAAGGAGACTTTCAACTAAATTTTTTTGTACAATGCAGCAAATCGATACTGTAACTCAGATTTTTCTTCTAAATACCTTAAAGAGTAACACTTGTCATTGGGACCTAACTTTACAATTTACCAAGTGCTTCACACAAACATCCTGCCTCATTTAACTTCACAACAATCCAATGACGTGCACGGGGCAGAACTCTTCACTTTCATTTTAAAGATGAACTAACTCAGGACATGAGACATCAACTAGCTGCCCAAAGCCACAGCGCCAGCAAACAACACGGCCAAGTGTTTGCAGGGGAAGGAGCAGAAAGAGGAAAAGAAGCTTTCAAACAATAGAGTTGTAGTCCCTGATCTATCTAGTAATACAGATAAAATAGAAAAAGAATCATTTCATTATTTATTTCATGTCTATCTTAAAAGGTAATACATGTGTACTTAGAAATAAGCTGCCATCCAGACAGCAACTTCTTTTCATCCTATAAGTAGGCTTGTTCCCGAGGCCAGATACAGACCACTAGCTAAGCGACATGAGCTGCTTTGATTTCCTTGGGTGTAAGTAGGTAACAAGAGAACAGGTCCCCAGGGTAATTCCAAATGGTCTGCAGCTACCCTGATGTTCTGTGACTTTCGTTCCTGCTTATCATAGCCTTTTGGTCCAGAATGAACCACAGCTTCTTTGAGAACCCTTTGGACTAACTCAGAATCAATGGAAACCCCAGAGAAGCCCTAAAATCATCTCTCCATGCATCCACCACTCCTACTCAAAGATGGTCACATCTTTAGCACCAAGGCTGCTCCATCTCAACCCGGTCTTCTCATTGCCTCCATCCTCACAATGGCCTCAGCAGTCCTCACAGGCTTCCTTAGGAGACGTGAGCTCCAACGCAAGCCTGTGTGTCCTTATAGTCATGGACAGAACTCACTTACTGAATATATATAGCCAAATTCTATACAAGTCTTCAGGCCAAGAAATTGGTTTCTTCATACTTAAATAAATGAACAGATAAGCATACAGAACCAATATATATTCATGTCCTTAAAATAAATGGGCATGTGTTATTATGTGAACTTTCTGTATTATCAGATGTGATTCTGTGAGTCAAATTCTTCCCTAGTTGCAACTTCTGCTTTAACATTCTTTTAGTCATCTGATAATAAAATGTGAGATTTTCATTGTATGTATTTTCAGATTTGCATTTTATACATGAATCTAGCCCTTATCTGAAGTTGACTATACTCTTCAAAGGATAGTATGCCTCAATTAAAAGTTCTCCTAAGCCACTTTAAGTATTATTACCAACAGTATCTGTTCTATTTTCCTAATAAGGAAATAGAAACCCAAAAGAGGAAACATGGTTCAACCATGGTCAGGGAGCCAATAAATGACAAAGCTTGCACAGGAATCTGTATCTCGTGATTTCTAACCAAGTGTCAAATTACAATACTTAGAGGATAGGGGTCTTCCTCTCTTAGTATCCTTTCAAAGCACATGCAAGTAAAAGATAAATCTCTTTCAGTTTAAACATGAAGCACTGGTATTCCAAAATCGAATTCAAGGGATAATTCTGGCAATTACCCAGTCTAGTTCTAATCCCACAAAAAATCATTAGAAAGAACTGAGAGAAGCAAATACCACAGAGGCCATGGATCCATAAAGCTACATTAAATAACAAAGTGGTTAGATTCTTTTCTCAATTAAAAATTCCTTAGTTGAATTAAAAAAAAAAAACTAGGCCTGAGCTAAAGACAGCAATTTCATGTTAAAAAAGTAAGTAACCTTCACAATTCCAAACACAGTTTCTGTTAGGCCTATTTTCAAATACAAAAATAAAGTTGCTAAACAGTCCTGAACAAATGGATAGTTGCAGATCATTTGAATATCTCTGCACTTCAACCTCACCTACATGAGAATAATCATCCTTATTCTATCTCTTGGAGTCATGAGAAAGTGAGAATGCTTTGAAATTTAACACAAAGGCGAAGCCAACTTACAGACTTATTTCAATAGAAAAAATAAATTCTAATTTGTCTACCTAAACTAGTCAGTCATACATAGCCCAAGCTTAAAGACCTTTATTAGGATCAAAGCTGGAAGTGTTCGCCCTACCCCAAGTTTTAACAAACTAAGCCAACTGGCTTAGAAATCAATGGAAACCCCAGAGAAGCCCTAAAATCATCTCTCCATGCATCCACCACTCCTACTCAAAGATGGTCACATCTTTAGCACCAAGGCTGCTCCATCTCAACCCGGTCTTCTCATTGCCTCCATCCTCACAATGGCCTCAGCAGTCCTCACAGGCTTCCTTAGGAGACGTGAGCTCCAACGCAAGCCTGTGTGTCCTTATAGTCATGGACAGAACTCACTTACTGAATATATATAGCCAAATTCTATACAAGTCTTCAGGCCAAGAAATTGGTTTCTTCATACTTAAATAAATGAACAGATAAGCATACAGAACCAATATATATTCATGTCCTTAAAATAAATGGGCATGTGTTATTATGTGAACTTTCTGTATTATCAGATGTGATTCTGTGAGTCAAATTCTTCCCTAGTTGCAACTTCTGCTTTAACATTCTTTTAGTCATCTGATAATAAAATGTGAGATTTTCATTGTATGTATTTTCAGATTTGCATTTTATACATGAATCTAGCCCTTATCTGAAGTTGACTATACTCTTCAAAGGATAGTATGCCTCAATTAAAAGTTCTCCTAAGCCACTTTAAGTATTATTACCAACAGTATCTGTTCTATTTTCCTAATAAGGAAATAGAAACCCAAAAGAGGAAACATGGTTCAACCATGGTCAGGGAGCCAATAAATGACAAAGCTTGCACAGGAATCTGTATCTCGTGATTTCTAACCAAGTGTCAAATTACAATACTTAGAGGATAGGGGTCTTCCTCTCTTAGTATCCTTTCAAAGCACATGCAAGTAAAAGATAAATCTCTTTCAGTTTAAACATGAAGCACTGGTATTCCAAAATCGAATTCAAGGGATAATTCTGGCAATTACCCAGTCTAGTTCTAATCCCACAAAAAATCATTAGAAAGAACTGAGAGAAGCAAATACCACAGAGGCCATGGATCCATAAAGCTACATTAAATAACAAAGTGGTTAGATTCTTTTCTCAATTAAAAATTCCTTAGTTGAATTAAAAAAAAAAAACTAGGCCTGAGCTAAAGACAGCAATTTCATGTTAAAAAAGTAAGTAACCTTCACAATTCCAAACACAGTTTCTGTTAGGCCTATTTTCAAATACAAAAATAAAGTTGCTAAACAGTCCTGAACAAATGGATAGTTGCAGATCATTTGAATATCTCTGCACTTCAACCTCACCTACATGAGAATAATCATCCTTATTCTATCTCTTGGAGTCATGAGAAAGTGAGAATGCTTTGAAATTTAACACAAAGGCGAAGCCAACTTACAGACTTATTTCAATAGAAAAAATAAATTCTAATTTGTCTACCTAAACTAGTCAGTCATACATAGCCCAAGCTTAAAGACCTTTATTAGGATCAAAGCTGGAAGTGTTCGCCCTACCCCAAGTTTTAACAAACTAAGCCAACTGGCTTAGCAAACTAATAAAATAATACATAATTTTAAAAAGACTTCTTAGGAAAAAGGGAAAACAATTACATTACCTGATCCAGAACCTGATGTTGTCATATCATAAATTAAATCTTTTAACGTAGTACCCTCTGAAATAAAAGGGCGATCTAAAGAAGGATCCTCTTCATTTGGCACTCGATGGTGAATGACGGTGCGGTTATGGCAGATATAGACCATCAACATGAGGGAGATGCAGACGAAGCAGACTGGTCCAGCAATGACGGCTGCCAACTCAACGGGACCAAGGCCAGTTGATGGCTTTCCTGAAAAAGGGCCTCAAGTGAAATAAACATCAACAACCAAAAAACACTGTAGGTGGCATCCACAATTTTCTAATCCTCCAGATTTCCTGCAGTAGCCACTACCACCATTAGTCACAGAGCCATATTACAGCAGCTCATTGGGCTCAAACCCTCAACATGTGAATCATTCAGTCTGCCTGCAGTGTGGCCTTCCTTTTAAGATCACCAGCTCTGTCAACATCTTAACTCTTCCCGTATTCTTCAGCCGTCATCTAAATTACAACGCCAACTACCACCAACATTCTAGGACCTCCCCATTTATCACTCTCAGGTCACTAATAAAAGAACCAATAACCTGGAACCACTCCCATTAATAACCTGAGTCTTCTTTTTCTTTCTTCTTCTTAAGTAATTCAGTTTATCTCCTTATTCCAAGGCCAGTCAGTATATGCTCATAGCAGGGGAAAAAAAATGTGTAAATACAGATGAGCAAAATTAAAAGACAAAACAAAAAAATCTATAGCCTTAATATCTCAAAACACCTCACGTTTTACTGTATGTGCATGAGTCTCCCCCAATTTTTTTCATGTGAAATTATATATCCTTTGTTTTGTTTAGTTTCCTTTGTTTTGTTAATAGTTTCCATGTATATACTTTCTAGTCTAGTCTATTTTAATCACTTAGACTTTTAATTCAAGATCATTTACTTTCTTATAATCTCTTAATTAACATTTTGCATTGTTTCAGAAACACATTAATTACAAATATTTTGGCATTCATCCCAAGCCTTGCTGGTTTACTGCTCACAACAATTTCTTTCATATCACATCTTTCCTATTCTTGAGATCTTTATTTGGATTGATTTCTTATGATACAGAATCCTAATTCCAGTAATTTCTTTCAGGAAGAGTACATGGGTTTTTACACACTGAATACTTAATTATCTAAAGATGCCCGTTGTCTATACATATGAAAGAATTCTGATTCAAAGAATTTTGCATAATAATGTTCCATTATCTTCTAATATTTAAAAAAGCAGAAAATCTGAACTTCTTTTTCCTTTTATAGGTAACCAGGGTTCACTCGTGCTGAGCTCATATAAATTTTTTTCTTTATTCTTGAAGTTGATACTTTTCTTCATTTTACATATTTGAGTAAGTAGTTTTTCATTAATTATGCATAGTATTCTCTCTTCTGTCTGCTCCAATATCACTTTCTGGAATTTTTATACTAAGCATATTGGATCACCTCTGTCCTCTGTATTACTTAATTTGCTTACTGTCTTTTTTCTCTGACTTGTAACAAAATTTCCCAAACTTGTCTCCCGCTTCACTATAAATATACAGTATTCAGTCTACTGTTCATTTTCAATACTGCATTTTAAAAAATAACTCATCAATTGAGCTTTTCATCTAAAAGCTATCAATCATAAAATGTTCTCATTTCATAGTGAACTGAAAATAGACCTTGGATCATTCAAAAGTTCCTCCCTATCATGTGGTAAGTCTACTTCACAGGATGATATCTCCTTTTGAGCAAATGAATCTTTCCATTTGGTAGTTTTTTTGCTCTTTGCTTACAGGGACCTGGGAATGAGGGATTTATATATGTTTAACATTAGAAATAATGAGTTCTTCACAAAGTTTTCTGAGTCTCAATTCAGATATTTCAAGGCCAAACAATGGAAACAGGAAATTCTAGAATTACCATTTTCTTTGTCATGTTAGAACTGCAGATGCTTACATAAATGTCAGAAAAATTAGTGTGATAGAGCTTTGCCACAGGGAGTTTCCTTATGACGTGAAGATGTAGTCTGGATTTGCTGTTACCACTTGAAGTAGGTGGGCTCCCTCCTTCTGTAACCTGCAGGGCTTGCCCTTTTCCTCTGAGCTACAGCAAGGCTTCCTACCTTACTTTAGCATGATGCCTAGACTGGGTGTAAAGTAAGCACTGTGGCCTGCCACTCTGAGCACAGAAACCAGGTGCTTCCTACGGGAGAATTGAGAGTTTGCCCTGTAGCCTAACCTCCCCTCCAATCCCTCTGAGCTTAAAGGTATTGCTGGGATTTTTCTAAGAGGTCCTTTCACTTCTTTTTGTATGGTTAGTCAATTCTTCACTAGTCTGCTGTCATCTGCACTATAAACTGCAGAAGTTCCTCACACGTGTAGACCTATAGGTGGCATTCTTCCATTAATTCTGCTAGCATTAATATAGGTTTCCCCCATGTTTATATTCCTTTGATTATTACAGTAGGAATTTGGGGTTTGAGGAAAGTGATGGAACAGTTAAATACATGTGCTCAGACTGACTTCTTAAACCAAAACCCTTAAAATTAATCTAATACTAGTTGATGAAGCCTTCAAATTCTTGCCTCTGCCACTGCCAAAACAATTTAAAATATAAACTATGGTGAAGGACCAAAAACCTACAAAGCATGTATAATAATTTGTACATAGAGAGGTCATAAGGCAAGGTGAAATTACAAAATGAAGGCATCAGACTTCTAGTGCTGATCTCAATTCCCACCCATTACAGATTGCTCTAAAAGGCTGAAGCATTCTCCAAGGAAGAAGAAATTCACTCTGAGGACAAAATAGGGACACTCAGGAGGACACTGAGGCAGTGGGCTGTGTCAGAATTCCTTTTTAAGATGCTATCTTTTAGGCATAACAGACCTCAGAAAACATCTACTTTTGAAACAAACTTCTCAAACACCACACATCCAGTAGTCAGAATTTGGCTACTCTCTTAGTTCTGCAACTATGGACAAATTATTTCCTGTCTCTAAACTGAACAAGCTGGTGTACATGATTTCTAAGATGCACCCAGTTCTAAAAATCACTCAGGGTCTAAGAGCTTTACTTGCAGTATCAAAAAAAAAAAATCTTACACAACTTACCAACAGTTGGGAGTTCTATTTTATTGCAATGGTCCTCATTGCAGCAATGTGTTAGAGACCCAGTTTTTGAAGATGGTGCACATACAAATGGCCTGTCTCGAGGAATCAGGTCAATTTTAGCTATACACATGCTATTGTGTATAACTTTGTCTGTGGTCTCTGTGACAGAGACAAAGCAGAGCCCATCTGTGACACAAGTAAAATTGTCTTTTGTACAAAGGTGGCAGAAACACTGTAATGCTGGAAAAAGAGAACAAGACTCTATTAGAAAAAGTTCCCAAGGTTAACAATTTGAAATTAACTCATATTTACTAAAGTAATACATTCCTGATCATACCATAATCTTTAAATTTCTTTGCACTGTTCAAAAAGCAAAACTTGTAGATGTTCCTCTTAGAAGTTCCAAATTCTGTTAGGAAGCACACATATATAGGAGCCAAATATGATGAAATTTAGACCCAGGTTTTTTGAAACTTTTGTGTTTCCGAGTATAGAAAAACTTCCACATGCAATTTTGTCGAAGTTAAGGCAAGAATTTGCCCACCCATTTGAGAAACAAAATACATTTACATTTTTAACAGGTAATTCTTAACTTTTATCAGACTAAAACTATATAGTCACATACTCCTCACTGGGGAGCAATGTTTGAAAACACTGCTACCTACTTACTATAGGTTGGAAATGTCATTTGGGTGGATTTATGATAATGGCATAATGGAAATAATTTGTATTGAGCCAAACACTTTTTTCTCTGTGCAAACCCTGAGAAAGACATGTATCTTCTCTCTAGGATTAGGGTACTTTGTTGGTAAGCCAAGGAGACTGCACCAATAAAATACATGTACGTTCTAATCACGTAGGTAACAGCTGCAGGAATGACTGGAGAACACTAGCTCCATGCCCACTTGTATCTGTTTGATCTTTATGGCTCAGCTTGAGGAGTGACTCCTTTAGGGAAGTCTTCTACTATTATCAACACTTTCCCATACACACAGACACACACACCCATTAATTACCATGCTCTCCAGCGAGGTTAAGTGCTCCCCAAAGCACACATTCCTTATCACAATTACTATTTTTGTTTTTCTCGCCTATGAAACTCTAAGCTCCTTGAGGGCTGAAACCATATTAACCATTTTTATAAACCCACATTTAGCACTAGGCCTAGCACATAGCAGCACTCAAAAAATACTTATTGAATGAATGATAGAATGGGCACTTACATTTCACTATGATATCATGAAACTGCAAAGCACAGATAATATCCTTAAGTCCAAACTTTCCAATTACTTGTTGGCAAGAAGAAAGGAAGAGTCCAGGTAAGTGGAATGGCCATCTATGATGAGATCTACCATTATCTACAAAAGAGTGGCTAGGCAGCCTAGAACTCTCTGAGCTCCATGTGAACAACTAACCCAGCTATGCAGAAAAGGTCTCAGGAGGTCTGAGCTGCTCAAACCCTGTGCATTCCCAAGAAATGCCTGTCTTAATGATTGGCCCCTGGCCAGTTCCTGGGGGATGAGCTCAGAGTCCTTGAATTATTCTCCCTGATAAGATAATTGCAAGCCTGCATAACTGAGCCCCAGTAAAAACCCTGGACACCAAAGCTGTGGTGAGCCTCCCAGTTGGCATACATTGAACTGCTGTCACACTGCTGCTAAGCCCTGGAGTGCACCTGTGCTTCTGCACTGGCAGAGTACCTGGAAGCCTGCACCTGGTTTTTCCCGAGCTCTGCCCCATGTTCCTTTCCTTTTCCTTTTGATAATTTTAATAGGTATCCTCCCACTGTAGTAAAATAATAACCATGAGAATAACTTTTCCAAGTCCTACAAGTCCTTCTAGCAAATCACAGAGCCTGAGGGGGGTCTTGGGGACCCCCAACTCACTTGCTAAACCCAAATTTACATATGTCAGGATCTCCTCAAGCAGTTGTTCTTAGTTGCTCACTTAATTAGAACACTTCTAGTATCTTTATAGACCAGCAAAGTTTTACCCTAATCATTATTTAAAAATTTGTCCTTTCTTTTTAGATAATTCAGCTATTTGAATTAACTTGTCCCAAGAATGAAGAAAACTCAAGAAAAATATAAGGACTATTTAAAGAGACATTAAAGACTTCCATTTAAATACTATCAAAAGAGATAGCAGCTATTCATGGTGAGGTTTGGTGGTGACTGTAGGTTCCCTACAATATAGGTATACTTACACAATACAGGTATATCCTCTCTATATAGATACAATTTCCTAAGGAGGGACAGTGAACTAGGAATCCATGGACTGGCTTCAGGGGTATAAGCCTGTGAAACTCTAGGCCAAATGTGGTATGTATTTGCATTTTCAGGAGGTTTATAACTTTCAACCTCTGTCACCCACAAAAGATCAAAACTACCACCACAGGAGATTATCATCATTCTTTTCTGAATCCTCTTTATTCATGAGTTTAGTCATCCAACCAGTGTTTTCTAAGCAATTTTTTTATAGGTTACTCTACCAAAAGCTTTGTAGACAAAGATTAGTTACTCATGGTCACAGTGCCTGAAGAGCTCCAGTGACTACCAAAGGACATCACGACACTATGCCATCTGCTATACATAAAAAAATGCTGCCACAAATACTCTGCCAGTTATAAGATCTTCAGGGTTCCCTTAGAACATATGAAGTAAGAGCTGAACGCTTGGTCTAATAATTAAGACCTACTTTTGGGTTCCAACTTACCCTTCCCATTACAGATGTCATCTAGGGCCGCACACTTCTCACCTTTATGATAACCATGACTTCATGACCGTGGTCTTTACACATGCTCTCTCTCTGCTTTTAAACCCACTCTCTTATCCTTTAAGACCCTATTCAAACAAGATCTTCTCCATGATAGACAACCTCTCCCCTACCCTTAGGATAACCGGGCAGCTTCTTTCATTCAGTACGTTCCCATGGAGCTCTCTGCTTACAGTTTGCTGTTAAACTGTCCCTCATTACACTAAGAGCCACTTTTGTTGTTTTGTTTTCCCTTCGAGCCTGGACTCCTAAGTAGTGATCAGAAAAATATTTGCTAAAGCAGTGTTTCACAAACAGGAGCTCACACATACGTGTGGAGAAGAAGGGGATTCTAACATATTTTCATTTATGAGATAATCTAAGACGAACAATAAACATTCTGGACCATGAATAGCCACCAACTAAATGAGTTCTCTCAGCAGGCTTTCACTGCTGCAGCTTCAGTTGTGTGAACACCCCCTCCAGGCCAAATGTCCACATGGCAAACTATACCAGCAAAGATTTCAGTTGTAATTTAAAGGGTGAAAACGATTGAGAACTTGAAGCAACAGAGCATATGATGATAAAGTCATGGTACATTTGAAAAGTTGACAGCCAAAACATGTGTTACATGGGTCCTATCTTTGTAGTACAATTTGCAAAAGTTCATTAGCAGTATATGTGGTTGTGTAAGTAGACAACTACATTTTCCACTCTCACTTTCAGCATTAATTGGTTTAGAGAATCATTTAATAAATATCTCAGTAACGTCATGTTAACCTCATCTTCAGGTGACCACCACAGCTGACATCTCGTTAAAATTGGTATTTGAGGAATGCTTGCTCTGAGTGTCCTGGTTAGGTGTGAGGTCTCATTATTCTGAAATTATGAACAAAGCACCGATGTCATTAATACCGTCCTGCACAACATAACTTATGAGAATCGGCACTTGCAGCTTTTAGTATCACTGAAGTTATAATACAGAAACAGATTTAAAATGGAATCAGACCTAAGGCTATTTTTTTTCTTCTGTGAAATCTAAATATCATCTGTCACACTGAATAATTGTATTAATTTGATTTTTTTGGCTTTTTAGTTGTCTTTGTATTTAATTTGCAGAATTGGTTTATACTTATAAATGAGCCAAAACTATAAAGGTTTTATATCTAGCTTCATGTCTATAGAATTGAAGTGACATTATGAAAAATACATAAGGGCTTCTCTTAAGAGCCTTTCAATAGGAACAGGTCACTAGATAAATACAAATATCATATAACACAAAGCTTAACCAAGTAAGGGTTTATTTCTTGAGGGAATTTTAAAGTTCTATTTTACCATAAATCACCATCTTGACTCAATACAAGATTGCTATTATGTATGTGTATATGTATATGACATAGTTTTAGGGGAAATAAACCAAATAATTAATACCAAAATAAATACCTCTTCCCAAAAGTAATGTCTAAAATTCCACTGTAGAACCCTAGACTGACAGAGCCACATGAAACCTTGAACATCATCTAGTTATAAATTCAATTCTACCATTTGTACTAATTGAAAAACCAAAACTTACGAGTACCAAAATTATCTGTAACAATATTTCACCCAGATTAAAGGTGGATGTGAATTCCCACTATATTATCTTCATATAAACAAATAAAATATATGTGACTCTCTTCTGTACTACTATTCATATGTTAAGTAACTTGAACCTTTTAAGACTCCCTGGTGGTTCAAAGTACAGCTTCTTCTTTGGACCCCTAACATTTAAGTTTTGTGGTTAATAGCAAAGATATCAAACTCCCTATTTGCTACCTTTCTCCTACCTTGGCCACCTATTGCTTCCATGCCCCAATCTCTACCAGTAGCCAGAGTTACTCCAAAATGCACATTTTCCCACATTTTAACATTTCTGAAATCTGCATATACTTCACTATTAAGGCCAAAAGAAAAATCCAGCCTCTGGACAGAAAGGTAAAATATAATGTAGTTGTTACAACCCATGTATATGCAAACTTGCCTATTCATGGCAGGGGTTATTCATTTAATCTGACTTTATCTGCATTGTAGCTCTCCTGCACCTAAAAGTTAACTTAAGCTTAATCCCTATTAAAATGTCTTCACAAAGATTTCACTATGATTCAGCACTACAGTGAACAACTACTGTGTTCACAGAAAACTATCAGTCCCATACCAGGAAATACAATTACTAGCAGTAAAAATTTCCAAAGACTGTAAAGTAAATCATGGAATTTTCAAAGTGTGATGACGGCGTAATGTGAAAAATGCCAGAGTCCAATTGCCTAGCTGCCAAAGGAAAAGACAGCAGTGAAGAGAGACAGCAGGACCGCTGGGGTTATCATCTTCACTGTACTATAGTATTGGAGTGATAAATTCCAAGCTGAGGTTCTGGCTTTTGGTCCCAACTATAAAGAAAATTTCCATCACTGCCTCACTTCAGTGTGTCTGGAGATCACATTATTAAA